CACACCAGAAATACCAAATTTCCGCAAATGTTTACCCTTCGAGCCCCGATTTTTTCCGTAATCATAGAATAATTTTCTGTTCATAGATTTATAGCAACTATCCTAGATAGCCCCGAATTTGTTTCGTAATCATAGAACAATTTTCTGTTCATAGATTTAATGCAATAATCCTAGATAGGATATGGGCAAACTTTGACATCGCTACATCCTTGCATTCGGGAGATACTGTACATTCTTTCTGAAAAATAAAAGCACAATATCAAGAAAACCAAATGCAAAATCGACAAAAAATCATTTTAAATTATTCTCTATAATCTGTATTACAACAATCAAAAATAATTCTGATAATAATAAGTCTGATAAAAATAACACTGTGCAACACAAAAAAAAATTACCGCGAAATTCCAACAGATTATGAAAGAGAAGACACATGTATCGGCGTTTTGAAAGTTTACGTCGGGAGATAACCAAAAAGGCGGGGCAATATTCCCCCTTTTCAAGAATTTTGATAATTTTCGAATTATGATTTCTTGCATTTTAGGTATATAGTGTCTTCGGCAATATTACTGATAAAATATCGGGGAATATTTTGGTATTCAACTTTAACCCTCAACCGACTCATTAAAGGGGTCTTTTCGGTCCCCTTTTCCAGGAGTGATTGAAAACTCATTCAAAACGGGGTTAAAGCTGCTCAGAATATTCTACAGAAATGTTCGCCATAAAGTTTTACTATAAGTCTCAGAATATGCTAAAACTCAAAAATCAACCTAAACGTCAAAAATCTTAAAAAACAAAAACTCATTTTAGGGTTAATATCGTACTTATTACTAGTTTTTACCCATATTTCCCACAAGATGTCGTTTTAGAAGGATAGTATAAGGGACAAAAATATTCTCCATCAATTTTTAGCATAAGTCACTGAACAAGAGAAATCTGTATATATAATGTATATACCGAATATATAGTCATACATCTTGAACCAAAAATTCATAATGTTCTTGTATTTTTTTTTTCAAAGACATTTCCCAGTATTTTTTCGACAAAGTGCATTAAAGTGACATGAAACTTAATTCTAGGTATATAATGTCAAAGAATAAAATATTCTACGTCAAAATCCACTTCAAATCTCAGAATAAACTATATATTTATATTCAATAGTTCTAAAACGACATCTTGTCGGAAAAATGGGTAAAAACTAGTAATAAGTACGATATTAACCCTAAAATTGTTGTTAAGTCTTGTAAAAAAGAACCTAAAGAATAATTAAAAATATTTTTTCGTCGATATTGCATTTGCTTTTGTTGATATTGGACTTTCATTTTTCGGAAAGAAAGTACTGTATCTCCCGAATGCAAGGATGTAACGACGTCAAATTTTGTGAATATCCTATTTAGGATAGTTACATTAAATCTGTGCACAGAAAATAGTTCTATTGTCACGGGTAAGAATTCGGGGCTCATAACTTTACCAAAAATTTGAATTTTTTAGAATTTTCTTGTAATATGTGTCGTCCATTATCAGGTATGGATATAGGAAATCCATGAAATGCATATATACTAGCTTTATAATAAATATAAGCTCTAAAACATTTTGTTGCCCGTGGGCAACATGGGACCACAAAGGGTTAATGAGAATCTTCCCTAAACTACTTCTTTTAAACTACCGAAAGGAACAAAAAAGTTTCAAAAACCATTGGTCAATCGGGATGATCGAAAAAATAGTTAACTATCAGAAAATTATTAAATTAGGACGTTGTACTCGATTTAGTAGGATTTGAGCATAAAAGCTTCTAAAACCTATGTTCGGAAGAAATGCTGATTAAGATCTGAAATTTTCCAGAACCAATCATTATTCATTTAGAAATGCATAAATCTATATGAATTTATATTGTGTAGCCAAATTTATGTTTATTTTAACTATAAAATTTAATGTAGTTTTGGGTATATATGGGAAATTACAAAATTCTTTTAAAATTCCATTAAAAAAAATTTGAAAATTTTTTTTGCGAGCACATTTATGATTTTTGGTACATAGGTTAAGAAAAATATGCTGATTCGAAATCTGTTCGCGTTCACAAATTCGGATGCTGCGCACAAAAGTTATAGCGGTTTTAAATCTTGTATTTCAAATTTAAATTAAATAGATTTCTATTCGTTGTAATTCGCGAATTTCTTCACAAATGCTTAAACACCATTGTTTTTTTTTTGCATACTAGTCAAATCACACTGAAATACGGTTTAATAGTCGCGAAAAACAAATAGAAACATGCATATATCGGAAAATAAAATAAATTAATTTTTGAATTAAAACAATTTTTTTTTTTTTGAATTTTCAATTTTTTTAGTATGGTTAAGAGGATACGGTTTTGCCTTAATCTACTAAAATATACGACGCTTTCTTCTGCAAATTCTTTTAGATGATTGTTAAATATCGGTAGATTCATCTGATAAGAGTTTCGACGTCATTAATGGCTAAATATATTGCACTTACAATATATAAAAATGATCAATATTGAAAAGCTTGCAATTCGCGAATTAGTTGAAATCAGTTGATGCGCATGCGATTTTCGTATAAACCGAATCAATGTCTTTCAATAATTATGGATTTTTCGATGTTTAATATAGCGGTCAAAGTGTGCCACTCGATGCACTTTACTATGCAAAAACCCTAAAAATGGCTAAAAATCACGCAACGTGCATAGGATTTTTATGCGCATCCGATTTCAGTAATCTCCTATGAAAATACACAAAAGGACACCTATTTTAAAAGGATCGGTTAAGAACCGCGGATGTGCCTCCACAATCAATTTTGGATAAAATACGCATATTATTCGCGTATCGATGTATTTTTGACCTATTTCCACACAGTTTCGCGAATTTGACAATACAAGCATAAATGCATGTAAAATTAATTCGAAGAAAACCGCGATTATTTACGCGAATTTGTCAAAATAAGTTTTTGCAGTTTTTCCCACATTCAAGGTACCTATATCCGCCGTTTTATTGGGCGGAATTGAACATGGATGGGCTCATTAGATCCGGCACGAAAAAAACTAAAATCACGCGGGGTTCCACGGAATTTGAATGGACTTTCTTAATTCTAGACTCAAAAAATATGTTTTTTATAAAAATTTACGCACCAAATTTTCATCTTTGGCACCCAATTGCAAAGAAGCTACGTGAGCACATTCATGAGATATACACTAAACGAAGCAGAATCACGAGTTCTACAATCCTATAATTAGTTTATTCTATTATCTGGATGCGCATCCAAATTATAAGAAAAATTCAAAAAACACCGAAAATCCGGCTTCAAAATGTCAGCATCCATTTTGGGTGGATGCAGTGATTATATCGAAAAATCATACATTAGAACCATATTGTCCATGGGGTATTCTGCAACTTAGTCACTGATCACATGTGCGTGCGTTGTGTAGTTTAGCCACAAATCGGGAACGAACACAAAAAAACTCGTTGGCTTCAACACATTTTCACCCATTTTTTTACATTACCACCATCACAGCTTCCACGCAACTTATTATTTATTACCAATATTTTAAGATTTTGACAAGAACACTTCATTTTATAGAATTGAATTTAAATTATATGCAATATGTTCATATTTCGCGAGTTATAACCTTGCAAACCTCAGCTTCAAGGAATTTAAAAGATTTTTGTAATTTCCCATATGTAGTTTTGGGCGTATGCTAGAAGGGTATAAACAGTTCGGCCGGGCCATACTTAAAATCGTTTTAACTTGTTTTCTTTAAATCCACGCCTATCACAGTCTTTAATATTTATATTTTACATTCATCTACAATATTCAATAATTTTTTTTTTAATCCACGGCTTTCATAGCTCTTAAAAAATATTAAAATTATATTATAAATAATAATAACTCTTAAAAAATATTACGTTTTATGTCCACGCCTATCATAGGTCTTAAAATATAAAATCTACGGCTATTACCCAGGCCTATTATAGGTCTTAAAATTAAAAAAAAACACACACACATATATATTTTTTAAACTCCACCTATCATAGCTCTTAAAAAATATTTTTTATTTAACTCACGGCTATCATAGTCCATAAAAACATTTTTGTAATCCATTGGATTTTATTAAAATTTTGGAAAAGCTGTAGGAAAAGGGCAGAAATTGAACTCAGCCGAATATAAACAAAATTTGTTATGATTCAGGAGGAGATTCTAGGATTCAAATTTGAATCCATAATAAGTGCAAATGGATCTAATTCAATCTTTTGTACTTTATTTTCAATTAATTGAATATCAGTAACCGCTATATATACATTTACACATATATTTGAACTATTTTTTTATTTCTCATGACGTAGTGTATATAAATTTGGACATGGCTGAATTTTATGAGGTTTTTCTTTATATATATTTTTTTCGTATTTCATTTATGTAAATTCTTTCTCCACACACATCTGAATGTCATTGCCTCTTCATGGGGAGGTCAGTGTTTAGATGCTGAGTTGTCAAAACTAAAAATATACCAAGACATAAACATAGTGCCATTAAAAAAAATAGGCAAAAATAAAAAATTGCAATAATTTTCAAAATTCAAAAAACATTTGTTTACAAACAATGTAATGGGAAAATCGAAACGAAGATTTCGCCTGACATGACATGAAGGCCATTTGGTAAAAAAGAAAAACAAAATACGGGAAAGAGTTCACGTGAGAGTTATAAAAATGAGTATTAAAACTATATATATGAGAGTACTTTACACAAATAATATATGTTGTGCAAAAAAAAAAAAAACCTGCAAAACATACATACAAACAAACATTTGTACATATATTCTATGTTGTTCTCTTTATAGATACACTTATGATAGATATGAGTGGTGCCAAACCACTCAAACTCACACACTATGCTATATAGCTGCTATGAAAAAATATGTTTTACTTTTTGTTTTTTTGGGAAATATTGATTTTTCACAGTGTATATATAGTTGTTTTCTGTTCAATGCTTACCAAATCCTTGTATAAATCCTTACTGATGTGAGGCGTTAACTTCAGTGTACCCACAAAAACGAAAAATAAACCCAAAAGTATGGATAAACTTTTCAAAACAATTGTATTTGAAGCGGGCATTTTTGTTCTGATATTATATTTATTTATTTGCTTATTCTCTAGGCTATGGATGCGGATTTTGTAGTTTCGAGAAGCTCGTTACGAACACGGATTTTGTTAATTTATTATTTTCCTCTAAATGATTTACTCAAGGTAGCATAATCGCATAAACACGCTTCGTATCCTTTGAGTTATGTGCTAGTTTGCTTTTCGGATTTTTTTAAACTAATTTTTTCGTTTCCCTTTTTTTGAAAATTCCGTTTAATTTTTTCTTGTCATATATATTAGAAATTAGTTTCATTCGTTGTTCTAATTTTAGATTTAGATTTTTTCTTTTTTTGTTGTAGATATGATTTAAGTATTATATTATTCTGTTTGTTTCTTTTTAATTTTTTTTGTTCAAAATACACGAAAATGAAAAATCATTCGCATATATATTTGAATGTATATATGACGATAATGAAGATGAACACAATTTAGAAAAAATATGTACTCGGATTCGGAGGCAGCTAACAACAAAACAAGCACGCACCCTCCTTTTTAGCGTTATGATTTTAACGGCACTCGCGTTCGTAAGAGACTGACTGCCGTTTGGTTGGCAAAGTTCAGCTGTTCAAAAGTTGCAGAACGAACTAGCAAACGACCAGATGGTAGGCAGCATCCCGAAAAACAATGTACCTTCTTAAACATTTAGTTTCTCGTGACAGATTTTCCGGCTCTCCTCTCATTATTATGTGCGGTGAGCAAAAAATCTTTCTTTTGGTCGCTCATGGCCTTATGCATGCCCACCAACTAACCAACAACCACCACCCATGTGCTAAATTTCATAAAAAAGGGGAACAAAATCATGTCGTTGTCGTGTACAACAACGATGCACACCGATATTTGTTTGGTATATTTTTGCTTTAGTGGTTGGTTAATTCGCATCTGGGAATTTTGTTAAAGAAGAGGGTTGTTTGCCGGTGGTTAAATGTTGCACTGCAGCATATTCTCCCCTGTTACAGAATGGGAGAATAATGTGAATGTATTTACATATGTCACGAAACTGGTGTTGCCATTTTGATCTGAATATGAAATCTATGAAGGTCCTTTAGGAGGTCTTCAAGATTCATAGATTTAAAAAAATATATATTTAGTTATCTATAGAAGTCTAATACCAGGTAATCTATCCGAATGTTTTACAAAGAAGTTCTATCCAACAGGATGTCTTCCATCTGTAATAACTATAAAAATAATAGAATATATATGAATACTTTTTAAATAGAATTTAAAATCGGTAGAATTCGAACCGAGCAACACTAAACCTTTGGAACCATTAATACAACTTCCAAATGTTGCACAAATGACTGTGAAAGCAATTTTAGGAATAAAGCAATAGAAATAAACATCCATCGCTACAGTATAAGACTGCTCTCAATAGGACAGTTGCTGGAATGATGGCATAGTCTTTAAAAATATATATTTTTTTTAAATCAACGCTTATCATAGTCCTTAAATTTTGTGTTTTTTTTAATCCACGACGATCATTGCTCTTAAAACATTTATACAAATCCAAATCGTAGCTCTTAAAAAATATTTTTTTCAAACTCAAACTTATCATATCTCTTAAAAAAAATATATTGTATAAAAACACACACCTTTTCTAGCTCCAAACAAAATTATACCAAACTCTTTAAAATATATATTTTATAAAAATCCAAGCCTGTCACAGCTCTCAAATATATATATATATATATATATATTGTTTCATAAAGAAACCTCTTAAAAAATACTTTTGTTTTAAATCTACGCCTACCATACCTCTTAAAAAATACTTTTTTTAAATCCACGCCTACCATACCTCTTAAAAAATACTTTTTTTAAATCTACGCCTACCATACCTCTTAAAAAATACTTTTTTTAAATCTACGCCTACCATACATCTTAAAAAATACTTTTTTAATCTTAAAAAATATATATTTTTTTTAAATCTATGCCTACCATACCGCTTAAAAAATATTTTTTTTAATCTACGCGTACCATACCTCTTAATTTTTTTACACCTATGCCTATTATAACTCTTAATTTTTTTAAATATTTAAAAAATATTTTTTAAAAATCTACGCCTATTATAACTCTTAAAAAATAAGTTTGTAAAAATCTACGCCTATTATAACTCTTAAAAAATATGTTTTTAAAAATCTACGGCTATCATAACTCTTAAAAAATATTTTTTAAAAAGTCTATGCTCTTAAACATGGACCTAATTGAACAACCGTTGCATACACCATTTGGTTTTTGTAACTTTAGTACACTTTACTCTAAACATAATTTAATACCCTTTGCCAAACTTCGTGTAAATCGAACAAACATAGGCTCTTCGGTGCACCATTTACATAAAATCGGACGAAAATATATATAAGACCTATATTTAAATCCGATCCAATTTCAACAAACCTTAACACACATATCATTCTTGACTCAATTGCATTCGCTATGCAAAATTTTAACTCAATCGGACAAATTTTGGGAGTTTGGAGCTTTATTCACATAAAATCAGACGGAACTATATATGGGAGCTATATATACTTCTAAACCGATTTGAACAAAACTTCGCATACATCAATCTGGAGCTAATTCAGTATGTTGTGCAAAATTCTATCTCAATTGGACAAATATTGGGAACACTATTTACATAAAATCGAACGAATCTCTAGATGGGAGCCTTATCTAATTCGGAACTGATTTCAACAAAACTTCGCATACATCAATTTGAATCTAACTCAGTACGCTGTGCAAAATTGTATCTCAATCGGGCAAATATTGGAAGTTTGGTGCAACATTCACATATAAATCGGACGAAACTATATCAGGGAGCTCTATCTAAATCTGAACCGATTTCAACGCATACATCAACCTGGACCTATTTATATACCTGGTCCTATTTAGAGACCTATATTTGTTTCCAAATGTTAATGTCGGAAGTATTGAAAGAGCTTATGTCAAATAAATTTCAAAATGTTCTGAGAGTTGTCCGTAAAGTGCATGTCCTTCCAAATGTTCATGTCAATCGATTTTTTTTCGTCCAAATCTTATATGTAATCGGACATAAATATATACGAGAACTCTAACTAAACATGAACCGATTTAAAGAAAACTTGATATACTTAATCATGTATGCTATAAGTTTTCTGTTAATCTTTGGTGCACCATTCACATGAAACAGGGGGAAAAATGTGTGAGCCAAGTTCTTACACAGAATTTCATTTCAGGAGTGGCCCTGTATTGCGATATGGCACAGTTTATTGTAAAAAATCATTTCAGAGGACCTATATCTAAATCTTAACTCTTTCCAATTTCAATAGGGTTCGTTCAAGCCTATTAATAAGGTAATCCGGGGAGTCCAGCTGGATACCAACTGATTCTCAAGATAACGTTCGTTATCGGAAATTTTGGTAGAAAACTCCCAAAGTGTCAAATTTTTTGTTTACATTTTCGCGCGATTAAGTCAATATTGAAAGCATTTTGACAGCTCGGGTAAAATCATCTGGCCTTATCGTAAGATCTTATTATTGGGCCATAGAATGGGCTTCCATTTTTTGATATTAGACTTGAGAAAAAAACAGCTAACTTTCGCTTGACCTTATTAAAGACCTTGGGCGTAAAACATGAGACGTCAACAAATGCATCTCATGTTGGGTCCCATTGTGTAAGTTCCGATACACTTTCGTATATTTAAAGTCATCTATTTGCAAAAAAATTATATTTTTTACTAGAGTTATCGAGAGAGACCAGCTGCTAATCAGATACTTCTCAAGTTAGCTGCCAAAATGTATTATTGTGAATAGACTTCACATATGAAGACATAAATAACGTTCACGTTTTAAATAACGTCCGATTTCGATTCCTACCTGGGTGACCTTATTAATAGACCTTTGGATACAATTCGAAATAAAGGTCTATTAATAAGGTCGTCCAGTGGGGATCAGCTGGATATCAGCTGCCCCTCAAATTTGCTGTTAAAATCAATTATTGTGACGACGAGCTTATTTATAGGCCTTGTCTAATGTCAAAAACTTGGACTTTGTTTTCGTTTTCATAATGGAAGTCAATTCACAATAATAGATTTTGACAGCAAACTAGAGAGACTAATAATATTCAGCTGGTCTCCCTGCATGACCTTATTTATTGGTCTTGACCAAGCGCAGCTGATTATCAGAATACATATGCTCCCATATTGCAAGAATCTACAACCTTTTACTACGATACCAAATGTTCCTTTGTGATATCGAAAGAAATAGTAAAAACTGGTAGATTCTTGCAGTACAGGAACACACCAACAGTTGCCACTTGTATTCGGAAAGTATAAGGTCGTGCGATAAAATCAGATGATTTACTGTCAACATTTGGTCTGTTCCCGTACTGCAAGAATCTACTTTATGTTATCGAAGAAAATAGTAAAATCTAGTAGATTCTTGCAGTTCGGGAACAGACCAATTATTGCCATAACGATTGCTTTTTATGCGACCCATGTCCTTTAAATAAGGTTATCCAAGGAGACCAGCTGGATATCAGCTGCCACTCAAGTTTGCAGTCAATATTCATTATTGTGAATTGATTTCCATTATGTAAAAAAAAAACAAAGTAAACAAAGTCCAAATTTTTTACATTAGACTTGAGAAAAAAACAGCTGTTTTCCGATTTCGATTGCTATCTGGGTGACATTTGGTATGTTCCCGTACTGCAAGAATCTACTATATTTTACTCCGATAACACTTTTTTCCTTTATGATATCGAAGAAAATAGTAAAATCGAGTAGATTCTTGCAGTACCATACCTTGGGATAAAATTCGAAGTAATGGAGGCTGAAAAATCTAAAATTATCCAATTTCATTAAACTTTTTATTTATATTTTGAGAATTATATAATTTTTTATTGGGCGTAGCTGATTATCAGATTGCATAGTTTCCACTTGAAAACGAAGTATAATATTGCGATTTTCACCACATCGACTTTATGATTTCCTATGGTCTAATTCTAGAGTCGTCCGATATGACCGTGTGATTTCACTCAAACTGCCAAAATACCTTCAATCGAATAAAAACGTTAAAAAAATTTGACTCGTTGGCAGATTTTCAACTATAATAACCGATAACGATTGCTTCTTATGCGACCTGTTTTATAGGCCATATAAAAAATCGATTAATCGATTAGTTAAAAGTAGACTTACGTATCCCTAGACACAACTCTATAAAAAAAACTTAAGAAAAACTAGCTTCCGCGCTTATTTTTATTAAATTTTGCATAATAAAATGTGTTTTTATTAATAAATTTTCATCCGGTAACGGACTATGAGTGTTCGGCAATCGTTTTATTATTCGAAAAATAAAAAGTGTAACGAAATTGTGCCGTAAATCTGAACGTTTTTCGGCCAAGAGGCATTCGTTCTATCGTCCATCCCTCCTAATAACAAATCGGAAAAAAAAAATCAAGGAAAAAGTTGTGTTGTGTGATAAAACTCGATAGAATATCGGCAGAATTTGTGCAAAACTTAAGCTATGGCTTCTGTTAGCGCGTCCGAAGAATTCGATGTGGAACTTTTCGAAACGCGCTTGGAAGGTCTCAAAGACACACAGGATGGTATACAGCAAATGTCAGCGTGGTGTTTGAAGCAGCGTGCCCATCATAAGAAAATCGTTGCCTGTTGGCTAAATGTTTTCAAGAGAGGTATGTTGTGTGTGGTTGGCTAGTAAAAGACGACTCTTGTTTGTGGGTGTGTGTGATTTGTTTGAAAAGCGGCAGCGGAGGCGAAAAGAATCACAACAAAAAACAACTAAAAAATGCTTTTGTTTTTATTTACAAAAATTGGCTACCTATCATTAATTGAGAGGGGGAAGGGTAGTCATGGACTGATTTGGAGTTTTTGCCGGCAAAAAAAAAAAATGTTCAATGCCAATTGGCGCAAGACAGTGAAACCTTTTCAAATCAAACATATGTGGAGGATCCTCCAGTTGTATGACATATTCCTTGTAAATCAAAGTGTTTTGAATTATTATAAAAATGTACATAATACAAATTTTGTTTTCTAGTGAATCCTTTATGGAGTGAGAGTATTTTCTGAACTTACATTCACAAATTTGTTCAATTATATCAATTATTATCAAATTCTATAAACTATTGCGATTGTTTGTTTATATGTCGATACAAAATATCCAACTGTGTTTATGACACATACCATAGCATACTTTTAGGCAGTAATGGCTAAAGTTACACTGCAGATGATCCATTTGTAATGTTTATGTCTTCATTTAGTTGTATAATTTATATATTATGAACAAGATTGGGGTTGTTCCATTTCTTTCGATGTATGTTTTAAATAGGAACACAAACTTAACTTATCAATAAGTATTCACTAGGATCAGGGAGAGAACATGAGAAAACTTGATGACTGTGAAGGACTTTTAAATGTGTAGAATATCTTAAATTTCATTTCCAATCACTTTTCATTGGCCTAGTAAGACTCGGGTCGTTTCGGATCATAGACCCCTCTGTCGTGGAAACGAATAACCCATGTCGTGTATTTTGTTGCTACAACAACATCAAAAGAGTATCAGTATCGTTCCACGTTTTGGGGCTTTTAAAGTTTTGGGATTCTCCTGAAAAGTATTGTCGGCTAGGATTACTATTTTGGATTGGATCCCTTATTCTGGACTGGATTATCTGGAATATCCAAAGGTCCTTCTGGACCGACGGTGCGAACACAATAATTAATCAAACTTATGGGTGGTTTCTAGTCCCCTCCCTTAAAGGATGACTTACTAACGCTGGTGTGTTATGCGAACTCGTGTCAATAAGTGCTTATGGTTCGCATGTTCAAACTGTATTCTAACATAGACTTGTCGATACCCGAGCGCCTCGATGAGTTTTAGATTTAGTTACCAAGTGGACACTATTTATGGTTGACCTTAGGTCTTCCACATAACTAATTCCTATGTAGTCTCAAATATTTGTAAACCCCCCAAAAACCAAAACAAAACAATCTCGTCGATCGATGATTATGTGGCAACTTCAATAACAAGCGCAAATACTTGGAATATGAACTCGGATTCGGATGCCAACTGCGGGGATGAGGATTATATTGACTCAGGAACAGCAACTAGCCGCAAAGAAGCCTTTGTTGACGAAAGCAGTTCACCCCGTGGTCTCACATGTCAAGATGTCATTGGGAAGTCGAAAGTCGGACATATTGACAAGTGTTCACAGGAACCTCCAGGGTTTGCTTCGATGGCGGCTTTGGTAGTGAGCAAGGGCCACCACAGACGAAAGTCGGAACTAGTGGCACGTGGTCACAGAAACTTTCGAAATCCGCTGCTAAAGAAACGACATCTCGATAGATAGTTCACCCCGTGGTCTCACATGTCAAGATGTCATTGGGAAGTCGAAAGTCGGACATATTGACAAGTGTTCACAGGAACCTCCAGGGTTTGCTTCGAAGGCGGCTTTGGTAGCGAGCAAGGGCCACCACAGACGAAATTCGGACCTAGTGGCACGTGGTCACAGAAACTTTCGAAATCCGCTGCTAAAGAAACGACATCTCGACAGATAGTACCAGATGACCATCGGAAGTTTAAGCCAAATCTACATAATTCCATGTGGGTTTGGAAATTTAATTTATAGTAATATTATAGAAACCTATCAGAACTTAACCTAAAACAATCTAACATTTTTGACAAATTTTGATTTCTCACTGATTGCGAAAATATATGCCTGAATAACTTTACAAAAATATATTCATATTAGTCGCGACAGAAACTCATGTAATCACTGACGAGATTGCCATTACCCAAAATATGTTGTGTATAAGATTCTTCACATCCCTATTCCTTTGAGCCTTAATATGGTATAATCCAACAAGAATATCAAACATTTCAAAGAAGTAATCAGTCTAAACCCCGTCCCCGTAAAGACACGCTCGTTAATAGATTCAGTCCCCAATTCTCATGTTGGTGTTGTCCGCATTGCCCCATATATACCAAGGCAGCATGTCCTCTGAACTTTCTGCAGTGCTTTTAAAATATAATGTATTTAAGAATTTTATGTAAATATTAATGCTCCTATAGATGCAGTGTATCATCTTTCGATTAAAACCTCATTAAGAGCATACAAATAGAAATATTGTCATCTGTGAGCCTTGTCGACCCGTTTCTGTATGTTATCTTTTCATGTTACCTGTCTAGGATAACTACCAACTGGTAATTAGCCTTATTTTGGAAGATTGGCTCTTCATACTGCCCTATATTTTTCTCTCTCTCTCTCTCTCTCTCTCTCTGTCCTATCTTTTTATTTTTGATATGTATATTTGGTTCCCATTATAGATAATTTCAGTACTTTTGATGTCTTTAGATACTAATATTGGACCGGTTGTTAGCAACAATATATATGATTAGAAATAATTTAAATATGATTAAAAATAATTTAAATATTAATACCGTGGTGCTTTCTTTGGATCTAACCAAAGCTTTTGATTCATTTTCTCATCATATTTTGATAAGAAAACTGAAGAATGACGCTAACTATTCGGCAACGGCTTGTAAACATGTTTTATCTTACTTATGTGATAGATCTCAATAAGTTTTTAATAATGGCATTTCTTCTAGGACGCTTGCTCTTGCATGTTGTGTGCCACAGGGTTCTATGCATGGCCCCTTGCTTTTTGTGTTATATGTTAATAGTCTAGCTGATTGTCTAGTTTCAACTTTTCTGATAATCGACTGGCCCCTTTTTCACTTGAAAGCGGTATAAATTCTTGTCTATCATCGTTCAGTCAATGGTCTTTAGATAATGCATTGAAATTGAATCCTTTAAAGACAAAGGCTATGAGGTTTGGAACTTTTACCCATGATCTTAATATTTATCTTGATCATAATCTAATAAATTATGTAAGCTCTCATAAAATGTTGGGTATATATATATATATATTAATGAAAAACTTACGTTTGAAAGCCACATCGATTTTGTTCAAAGAAAAGTGTTTGGTGTTATTCGTAAATTGTACTCTACGAATTTATATATGTTAAAAACAAGTTGGCTGGAGGTTGGTCTGGAGGTTACATCTGGCACTACTGATCGAAATTCATCGACAGTTAAGCGTATTGTGAAGTAGAGACCATATTTCTGGTTATGTTAAAAACTTCCTGGCAGTTGACTTTGATGTTTTTATTTCCTCCAGGGGTTTATGTACATTTTATAAGATAGTTAAGAGTGGTATACCTGTTATATTGGCTAATATGTTCAGATTTTGTATGTCCTCGAGGAATACACAGATTTTTATACCCAGAATTTATAGTAACATATTTGAAAAGTCTCAATCCAACAATGCACTTCGGTTGAAACTTTTGAGTTACTTTTGTTATTATAAAGTCCTCTGCATAATATTTTTGAAATATTCTTATTTATATTCAGTTATATGTTATGAATCATATTTCCTCGGAATCCAATCGACATTATTTTATCTTAACAGGACTTATACAAATATTTTTATATATATTTTATTTTGCTTCACCTATAAATTTTTCAACATAATATTTTCAGTTCGCGTTGAACATCGTTTGGTTCTATTCTATTTGGCCAATGATGTCATTCAGTACAGTAAAAGAAAACGTTTGGAATTCGTTGAAAGTTGGGCTACAGCTCTACAAAAGGCAACGACAATGGTTAGGTAAGCACACATTCAAGAATCTCCAGTTAATAAACTTTGTACTTATTATAAAATTATTTTTTTCACAGAGATGAAAAAGTCAAAAATAAAATTCTGCGAATATTTAGTATTTGGGAACAACGTGAAATTTACAATGAAGAATTTCTTACAGACCTATGTGGCCTCTTGAATATTGCACCGCCAAAGAAAGCCCATTCAACCATTGCCGATTCGGAGGATTTTCAAAATGCCAGTCTTATAACAAGCATTCGAGAATGTGTTGAGTTATCTGAACTGACCGATAAAAGCTTTAAGAAAATGCCAAAAGCCCCAAATTGTGATATAGAAAATATCAAACAACATTTAAAGGATAAAAGTCATTCGGATGATGTTGAAAAGGAATTGGAACGTTATGCAGCCTATATAGAGACATTTAATAAAAATTTACAAGCTGAAATAAAAAGTCGTAAAAATGTTTTAGCCAATTTGGATACGGCTGTTAAATTCTATGCCAATCAAAGGGGAGAAGTTAAAGTTGTTGTTAGTGTAAGTATAGGCTAACGAGGAAATATATGGAAAATTAATTGTTGTTACTTTTTAGGCCTATAAAAATTTTGGCAGTCGCATAAAATTGGTTAAAAAGAAACTAGATGAAATAACACCAACTTTACCCAGCCCCATACCTTCACCGGATATAAATGCACCGTCACCGGAGCCAGATGCTGATTTACAGCTACCAGATGATCAATCGCCAATATCAATGGTAAGCGGAAAGCTACCATATTATCTATAAAAAATGTTGATTTTTTTCCTACTCATTTCAGAGTTTTTTCAAAAATATGAATGGCTATAGCAGCTATTTGGATGGAAATTTGCCTTTTGATATAAATGATTTCAAGTCTGATGAAAACCCATCCAAAACCTCAAGTATGTAAATTAATTATTTTTAATTGAAAATATACAAAATATTTTTGTAACAACCTTTTATTTCATTTAAGGCCAACCCATCGAGGTAATTGGTTCAAGATCTGATGATGAAAATTTCAATTCAAATACGGAATATTACAAACCTGAATCGATAAGTGCTTACCCGGGAAATGAGAATGTAATGATACCGGGTTTAAATCCCATGCCTGTACCATCGGGCGGTTATACATCATTGGCACGATCCTCCCAACAATACAGTGATGTTTTACCTCCACCACCAAATCCTCCGCTATTCGGTACCCCCAATATTATGACAAATAATATACATCCGAATATGAATTCTGGATACGCGCCAATGAATGCCCGTTCATATAACAGTAATGATAGTTATGATCCGAATGCATATAATCGAATACCGACTGGTCCACCTGTTGGTCGGCCTGGTGTAGCGGCTGGAAATCCACAACCTCTGATGCCACCACCACCAATGCCACCTGCTATGGGATCTATTGATGCCACCGAAAATGGTGGTGGCGGCGGTGGTAGTAATTTCAATTCGGGCTGGGGGGATATGGGTATGTCATGGAACAATCCTATGGATAGTTCGAGTGCATCAACATCATCATATGGTAATACACCAATAGATACACCACTATCACCGCCTCATTTCGATGTAGATCCTCATAATGCCAGTACAGCAACGCTAGAGTATACAGAACATGATGGAAGCTTGTCATCAGCTCAAGATGTTGATCATCGCCAGCTACATTTACCCGCTTTTGGTATTGGTCCCAAATTAGGACTGAGTAAAGGTGAGTTATTCATTTTAATACAGTGGTGGGAAAAGGAAAAAAAGCAAGGCTCTCTAACGGGACGAGAGGAATACCAGACGTGATTTTTTTAAATAAATTTTTTTCGAGGTATACCAAAGCCTTTTTTTTTAAATAAAATGTTTTCGAGGTATACCAGAGGCGTGGATTTTTTAAATATTTTTTTTCGAGTTATGCAAGAGGCGTTGTCTTTTTAAACAATTTTTTTGAGGACTCCCAGAGGCTTTGATTTTTAAAATGCATTTTTTGAGGACTCCCTGAGGCTTTGATTTTTAAAATGCATTTTTCTGAGGACTCCCTGAGGCTTTGAGTTTTAAAATGCATTTTTTTGAGGACTTCCTGAGGCTTTGCTTTTTGAAATGAATTTTTTCGAGGACTTCCTGAGGCTTTGATTTTTTTTTAATGAAATTTTGTCGAGGACTTCCCGAGGTTTTGGTTTTTGAAATAATTTTTTCGAGGTCTTCTAGAATCGTAGATTTTTTAAATAATTTATTGAAGACAGAAACAAATTCATAAATTTAAAATTCCATTTAATTTTACCTTATAGAAAAAACCCGTCAATTGGATATTGATCATCGAAATCTAATATCATTAACTGGTTCACCGGGCGCAAATGATAATGATAAGAAATCCTGGTATCAATCTAATAATGAGGTAAGCTGTCCAGTCAAACTAAATCAAATCAAATTGTTTTTTAATACCAAATTATTTATAGGCAACTAGCGATGTTGATTACCGTATACTTGGGCAAGCTATTAAAACAATTGAAACAACAATACTGCCTGCCGCTTTCAATGATACCTCCTCAATATCATCGGTATCTGCTGATGAGTCTGGAAATGTATGTAAACACACAAATACTTTTAATTTTTCTGGTAATAACCGTTCTATTCTCTATTTATTATTTTTTTTTTTAGATCTCCAATGTATCTGCCGATAAACATGAAAGTAAGTTGATATTTTATTTCTATTTAAATAAATTCCCTTGTGTCTACAATATTCTATTTCTTTTAAAGGCCCCTCGAAAGAATCCCTAAAAGATGTAGCAGGTTTACAACAGCAACAAAAAACCGATGGCGATGGTGGAGGTACGGGTGGTTATGATCCAACAGACATGGTGGTTGATATGGATATGTCTGATGAGGATCTAGATGATATATTTAGAGGTTTGCTTAATATTTTGTTTTATAATTTTATTATTTTATATTTGTATATGTTTTTCTTCTTCTTATTGGCTTGTTTTTTTTTATTTCGTTCTTATATATTTTGTTTTTTGATGATATAAAATCTGTAGAATTTTTTTGTTTCCGATTATGTGTAGCATAAAATGTGGGTTGTTTGGTAGAAGAAGAATTTTGGGAGATTTGTGCCTTACAAACTGAAGATTATGAAATAGAAATTTTTAAAGAACATTATAGCCAAAGCGTGGATTTTTGTGTAATATTTTATTTTATGACAAGCAGATTTAAAACGTGGCTTAAAGAATAGACACCAAAGCGTGAATTTTTAATAATAAAGCGTTAAGATGACAAACCTTGGACGAGTTGAGTTCTGATCGTACCGGAGTGAAAATCGAAATGTTGATATAACTTGTGTCTATATGACGCGTGTGGATAACCTTCATGAGGAGACCAGATAAGCAACATAATGTGCAGTTGACTAGACAGTTCGTGCTGGCATACTATCTGTCGTTTCATCTCAGTCATCGTGAAGACATCGAAAACGTCATAATATCTGAAGTCAACAGATCGACGATACGAACTTCATTTGCATCAACTGGCACCTCTCTTAGCAACTCACAACGCGCATACATAAAGGGCAAGTCTGTAGAATCTGCACTGCGCAAGGTGGTAGGTTACATTGAAAAGAAATATGGAAAAATCAAGGCTTTGAGCTTACCTACAAATTTGACAGAAAGCTGAAATCTTCGCGATTTGGAGGCAGCTGAATTGATAATAAGTCTGGATGCAGAGATCGTTATACCGGTGACTATCTTTGTGGATAGTCAGGCGGCTCTTAAAACCACCAAATCCTGTAATATCATGTCTGAGGTCGTCCTGGAAACACTATCGGCGGTGCTGGGTACTTAGACATTGTGACATCATGGGTAATGATGAAAAAGCAGACGACCTATCCAGACGAGGATCTCAATCTACAGATCTAGCAACCGATGACTCAATCAAACCACTCATCTGTCACCTTTTCCGGAATTTTGAGGCATTTTTTTTTTCGAACGAGCAATGAAATTTGCACAACGTACCTAGGTGCAATGACCGACTCGGTCGAACAAACACAATGTTGAACATGAGCAAAACTGAAATTAGAGTAATGGCAGGAGTTATTACTGGTCATTGCAACATGAGGGCCTTTACCAGCAAGTAGACCATGATGTTACTGATTACTGCAGACTCTGCGACGACAAGGAGGAGACGGACACAATTGAGCATCTCCTGTTTCGGTGTCCAGCTCTGGCCTACACACGGCACAGATTAGTTGGTGTTCACTTTCCCACCGTGTCTACGTTTCTTTTCAACTATGGAACCTGCTTTAATCTACAACACCTTTAGAAACTTCAAGTTGCAACCTCAGCACGTAATATATTTTTTGTCCAAATTTCTACAACCATCGACACTATTTATTACCTACTTATCACAAAATATTAATTTTTTAAAAAACTTTACGGAGCACAATAAAATTGATCAACAATCACGAAAGGGTTGCCAAATAACGATTGCATTGATATCAAAATATTCCTAAGGACTATTGGATACATAAGCATAATTTTCCATACGGTTCCATCAATCTACGATGCACTGGTGTATCAAGTCTGATGCGATGTGATGTATGTTAAATTTGATATTCTGTTTGCAACATGCATATAATCTTGATCAAAATACAATTCTATGTCTGTTGAAATCATTATAGATGCTTGAAATTTGAGCAGACTTGTTATTACTTCTAGGAAGATTGGTATTATAAATGGTGAATATCGATCCACGTTTGTTTCGTTTGGTGACTTCACTGCAATTTCCTTACGATTATTCTCTTTCCAAACAACCCACACTCTTAATGTAGCTACAAATTTACAACACAAATACTAGAAAATTAAAAAACTTAATTATCTTAATTTACATTCCATTATTTTATGCATAACACAGAGGTTCATGAACAAATGGCAGAACAATCAGCAGAAAATAATAAAGATGGCGTCAATAGTGACACAAATGGTGGTGGAGATGTCGAAGCTGGCGAGGTGGCGGACGGTAATGTTCCATATCAAAGGCCACCACTGCTTGAAACACCGGCAGAATATGATCCGCAAACAAATTGGGATTGTCAAGATTGGCCTCAGCAAATGTCCGCCATGGCATGGCAAAATAACAATCGTGGAGGTTTGGCCGCCGGTGGACCACATGGAGTGCCGCCACCACCCAGACCGCCTTATGGTATGCAATTTCCGTATGGTGGTATGACTGGAAATGATAATCCGTTTGCTGTGCCAAGTGGTAGTCCGGCACGTGGCGGTTTTGCTGCAGCGGGTGGTGGTCGTGGGCGAGGTGGTGCATGGGACGGTTCACCACAAAATCAATTTCGTAATTTCCCTCGGCCGCCACGAGGCGGTGGTTCGCCATTCTTCAATCGTGGTGGTCGTGGAAATCGTGGCGGTGCCGGTGGCAGCCCCATGATGATGCGTGGCAGTCCTGGACAAGGTTTTCGCGGCAAATTTCGTGGAAAAAACAATTGGATTTAAATTCACAACAAAACGTAATCCAAAATAAAAGAACTTACTAATATAGTAATAAGTGATAAATTAAATGTTTAAATATAAAAGGAAGAGTTATGAATTTCTAACAATCTGTAAATAGAATAAAAAAAGAAACTAAAATTATTATTCTTAATATAGTCATAGTTATATAGAGGGATAATAAGTTTTTTCTCGTGGAATTTCGATTCCATCACAAAAACAAAATAAAATTTTAAATTAAATTCAAAATTAGCCAACATTTTAAAGTTTATACAATAACAAAAAGACAATTGGGTATGTAAAATGGAAATTTTAAATTTTAAAAAAATTCTAAAAAATTTTAAAGACAAGGAAATATAAAGCAATTTGTGTAAAAAATAATAATAATAAAAACTTATTTTCCCTCATTCGTTAGCAATTAGGAATTTTCAGAAACTTCTTAATAACATTGTTTGTTATTATATTATTATTAACTTAATTCTATTAATATAGTATATAATAAGAATTATTTTAGTTTTACCAAGAATATAAATTTCCATATTTTTATTTGTGAAAATTCATTCATTCTTCTCTTTAGTTATTTTATTCTTATTTTTTTTTTAATTTTGTGATTTGAATTCTCGACAAACATGACGATTATCGTTAGCCTTTCTCTTTCCCGCCCAGTTATCGTTTACACGCTTACACACACACACAGACTTTAATTAAGTTCTTGTTTATTATTTTCAATTTCAAAACGAGTTATTTTTGAAATAAGCTATGTAATTAGTAACCAAATTTATTATATATTTAATAATGACCACAACAAAGAAGAAAAAAAGAAATAATGAAAGATTACCCGTTTAAAATAGAGTTTAATGTTATTATTAAATACATTTAAAAATACTGCAAAACACACACCCCCTTGGCATAATGCATACATACACACACATATAAAATATAAAACAACAAAAAAAAACAAGACAAGAAAATATATAACTCCCAAAATGTTTAAATAAAAAGCTTAGAATTATATCCAACATAAAAGACAATCAATCAATTTACGTAAAAAATCGGAATGGTTCTTTTCGAATTAATGTAAAAGAAGTTGTATAAAAATGTATGTTAACATCAGCCGAGCGGAAACATTTACATTATGAGGAAATTATAAATTTGTTTGACAAAAATTATGAACGTGGTGGTGAGACTTACCATGCAAATGGTTGTGTCTAAAATCTTCTGGTATAGAAAAACTTCAATTCAGTCTGGCTGAATGAGGTTTTTTATTAGGAAATTTTAATTCAGCCTGGCTGAATAAGGTTTTCTATTGGAACATTTTAATTCAGCCTGGCTGAATATGGTTTTCTATAAGAAAACTTCAATTCAGCTTGGCTGAATGAGGTTATTTATAGGAAAATTTCTATTCGAATAAGGTTTTCGATGAGGCAAGGGCGTTCCGATGTTTTTTTTTTAAGGATTGTCATATAATAAAGATGTGGATGGGGTGTACCGTTCGCGATTCCTGTTGTGCTAAAAACGCGATTTTACGACTGTTCCGTTGTATATAAAGGATATATCAACTTTATTTGTAACTCATCAAAATAATAATTTTCGACCCTATAACACAAGACAAAAAAAATATATCCGTTTGGCCATTGTAGACTTTATATTCATATAGAGAGGTTGGCAAAATGCTGCATGGTGTGTAATTTTATACCCTCAGCCTTATGGCTAATGTGAGTTTAAATACACTTTGATACAATGAAAATGTGCATCATCGAAATATTGGTTTTAGACTCCATGTTTCTTTGGAACAAATCCGATTTAGAAAATTTGGAGTCGATTTACGCATATCCGTTCGTTCGTTGTCTGTCTGATCTGGGAATAATCGGTTTCATACAAACGTTGCACATCTTAATATTTCTTCCATACTTAGTTTATGTTCGAAGATGGGGAATATCGCTCCACTCCTTTTGGTACTTCCTCCACAAAATGGTCAAAATTGTGCTAAAAATTTTACAATAACATGCAAACGGACTATCTTACTTTAACGGGGACCCATTGGTCCACTTCTTCTGGTACCTCCCCCACAAAGGGTGAACTATTTTAATGTTTATGAATCCAATATCAGACTAATGAAATGTCCGATTTCAACCAAGCCTAGATCATGTTTGAAGATGGGACAAATTGGTCCACTCCTTCTGGTACCTCCACCACAAAATGGTCAAAATTTTCAATATCTTTAAATCCAATATTAGGCGATGCCCGATTTGAACCAAATTTTTCACAACCTCTTATCTTTACCAAGCCTAGATCAAGTCCGAAGGTAGGACCCGTCTTCCCTCTCCTCTGGTACATTCCACGAAAAGGGTCAATATTATTATCGGCAACACCGACTGACACTTTTTTACTTATATTTTTTTATGTTTGTCAAGTTCCCCACACTTTCATGCATGGTTCCAACTTTTGATACATTGAGGATTTTGGACACATTTTCAACCGAATTGGCTGTATACCGGATATTATGGGTTTTATTTCGGCGTCAAATATTTCTACAAAAGAATAACTATATTTACATTGGATGTTATAGGGTTCTCGCAAAATTTATTGGAATAATCATCCATCCATTTAGCTATTGCAAAGATTTTAATACATTTTGGGTCCACATTGGGCGGAAACCACCTATAAAAAGGGGATTTTTTCGGATTTTAGAAACGCAGTAATTTGATATTTTAATTTATTGTTGGGTAGCAAATTCCCCTATAAAAATTTCTCGATATTGTTTCATATAGGGGTACATATTTTTTTAGTAATTTGAGATTTTTTTTTTAAGTTATTATTAAAATAAAATAATATCAATATTCCTATGGATGATGGTATAAAACTTGACTTGAAATTAGGAGTTCTAATTTTTGTACGTCTAGGCTTTAGTATTATGACATGGCGAATTTCAGACATTTTTTAGGATCCTATAGGATCCTACTTCATATTGGTATATTTGATCCTAATCGACATCAATTTTTAATCAATCTGCAAGCTACATTTATGGCCAGAAAAACACCATGATGTGGTGTGCATATTAAAATGTACATTGCAATATATACATACATATGTATATATTCTTGACCCGAATAAAATTCTATGTCAAGAGCCATGAATCCTCCTGTCTGTTGAAATCACGATAGATATCATAATATCTACGTACAATACATTCGTACTTTTCTTTGGTGTTGGAAATGGAATATATCGGTCCACGCTTTGGTATAGCTCCCATATAACAGTGCCGTTTGTCTGATTGAACAGTATGTTAAAGGCTTTAGCCACATTTTCCAAACGAATGAACGGTAATTTGACTCTCCTGGTTTTAAGCATAATTGCACAAAATTTTCGATAAAGGCCAAGTAGGAAAGGGTTTTTAATCCACTTCGTAGCATAATTTGGACTTTGGAGTTCATAGTTTTAAGGTTTTTGGCAAGGAAACAGATTACATAGTGTTGAGACGATTGAAAATTGTTAAGGATATCAATCTTACTTTACAAGCGCGTCGGTCTTGTGGTCTTCCCCTTCTACGGGAACCATCAGTAAGCTCGCTTTTATATGCCTTTTGAGCTGGGGCATTCTTATTCATTTGCACAACATGGCCTAGCCATCGTAGTCGCTGCAGCTCAATACGACTGACTATGTGGATGTCCGCGTATAAATTGTAAAGCTCGTGGTTCATTCGACGACGATATTTACCGTTTTTTTGAGCTGGGGCATTCTTATTCATTTGCACAACATGGCCTAGCCATCGTAGTCGCTGCAGCTCAATACGACTGACTATGTGGATGTCCGCGTATAAATTGTAAAGCTCGTGGTTCATTCGACGACGATATTTACCGTCGACGCAGATCGGCCCGTAGATCTTTCGGAGACTTTTTCTTTCAAACACCCCAAGAGCTGCCTCAACAGAGTCAGACTGGGACTTATGGCACGTGTATTTAAAGAAAGAATGATGATCGTATTAAAATCAATGCAGTTTTTTTGTCACATTCATACGATTCAAATTATTAACAGAAAATAACATAAGCTAGCACACAAAAGGCTCGTTTCAAAGATAAACTAAATAAATATTTATGGACACTTTTAAATAAATATGGAGATTCGATTCATATATAGGTTTAGTTTCCATATATAATTTTGTATGCCAAACTGGCTCATATAAAATACACGTCCGATTCCATAAAACGTTACTCCATTTTAAAGGTATTTTTTTTTAACAAAATTAATAAGTTACTTGCAGGTGCTATTTTATTTTTCGCAACTGTATGTGTTTGTGGGAACTATTATACAAATAAAAATCCTGCCCTTAATTATAAATAAGCATTTGCCATGAAAAAAATCATAAAAAACTAATTTTTTTGTGCTCAATAATGTGTTCAAATGTCAATGATTTCAATCGACCCTGGTAATGATAAGGATATAAAAGAGTCTGCAAAGTATCGAAGTCGGGCTATGTGATGTCCTAGGTCCTTGATCCTTCCCTTACATTCTTATAATTTCCAATTCAAAATGTTTGAAAAAAATCCGAAATTAGATTAAGGTGTGGCATGGATGTAAAAGAGTCAGCAAAGTATCAAAGTCGGGCTATGTGATCCTTCCCTTACTTTCTTATATTTTCCAATTCAATATGTTTCAAAAAAAATCCGAAATTAGATTAAGGTGTGACATTTTATATATCAAAAAATTAAAAAAAAAGTTCCGTAGATTTCTTGTAAAAAAATCCATGGCATAATTATGCCATGAAAAAAATCATAAAAAAAACTATTTTTTTCGTGCTCAATAATGTGTTCAAATGTCAATGATGTCAATCAAACCGGGAATGATAAGGATATAAAAGAGTCAGCAAAGTAGTCGGGCTATGTGATGGCCTAGGTCCTTGATCCTTCCCTTACTTTCTTATAAATTACACCATACGGTAGACCCTATTTTAAAATTTTGGAAATAGTCAATTTACGGATGTACGTCCGACAGTCCATGTATTGTTGTAAACATAGTTCA